TATAAATTTAGTGCACAAATTTATTCAAGGACAAGTAACAATCTACTCTATGAAAAGTCTGTTGTCGGGTTGACTCAAGAGACCTGGAGGTTGAGACCGGTGTCCCTCCATTACAAATAGATAAGACAGAAGCTGTCCTTTTCAAACTATGCACATGTTACGAAAAAAAGAATAAAACTATTCAGAACATGATTTTTTGAGGCTTTATCAATTATATTGCTTGATCCACAGTTTCAGGACATTTTCAATCAATACATGTATTATCATTTATAACTTTAAATGAAAGTCTCATCCCTTTAATAATAATGACATAACTGCAACTCTTTAAATTCAGAAATATTATAAGTCTCATCATACCAATATACTAAGATATAAATGTATGCACATAACATTAATAATTCCAAGTTTCTATTAAATAAATATGAAATATTGGGTATATAAAGCCAGTAAAAGTATATATATATCAATATTCACTCATCAGGGCCTCTATGCTTTTGATGACCTTACAACTGGTAAATTTTATAAAACAAAAATTGTAAGTAATACCTAAGATAAGACAGAAAAGAACAAATAATTTAGTAAACATGAGTTACTTCCCCTTGAAATAAAGAAAAACATGAAACCCAAAAGAACACCCTAAACATCAAATTAAGAAATGTTGCAGGCTCATTTTAATTATGCCATGCAAATTAATGGTAAAGTATTCATAAAAAAGTAGATGGCCATGTGACAGCAGTAATTGCAGAAAATCGGATAGCTGTCAACATCCGGATACTGGTACACTTTGTAAAAACAACCATTCTGTTCAACAGATAAACGTACTATGGATAAAATCAATGGGATAAATCGTTTACAACAGTCCATTACCTATCCTAATACTCATTTGCAGTGAACTTTCTTCTTGTAGGAAAGTTTTGAAAATATATAAATGAATGAGCATCAATGTAGACCACAACGATATTCGAAATCCGGGTTTTGAGTATTGTCAATAAAACAAAGGGACAAGCTGTTAATCAGAGCCTGCAATTTCGTGAAAATAATATCACAATGCACATGCTTTTTATATAAAGTTATTAAATACAAATATAACAACATATTTGTTTACTTGATTTTTACGAATCAAAATAAATATAATTAACACAACATGAAATTAACTGCTAATAATAACAGCTCCTTCCATAGGCAAAAATAAAAAGCATTCCATATAAGACGACGCCGCTCACCGGCGTCGCCAATAAAGAAGTCAAATAAGCTTGCTTTTGCTGTAAGAAATCAATTAGAAAGGAAAAGTGGGTTTTAGAAATTCACATGTGAAAATATAAACAATGATAAATTCTGTTAGTATTGTTAAGGCTTAGGCTGTACAATTCTTGTCCCCAGGAACTCAATGACTGTCAATAAAAGTAACATCACTGTTTTATATTGGTTTTTCTGATTTTATCAGTTGTCATGTACACTCTTTTTAATGGATAATTCATATTTCAATTATTTTTTGCTGTTACATTAGAACATAAATGATTTGTTATTTTTTAATGGCAATATTAATGTAGGTAGTATTAATGATGACATTTACAATAATTTATTTTACATACATGATAAACTAGGAATTGAAATAGAATGATTATTATGAAATATATGGTAAAATATTATTTCAAAGTATTGTGTGAATTTTTATGCCCCCGTCATATAATGGCTGGAGCATTATAGTGTTGCCCTGTTCCGTCATTCTGTCCTTAATTCCGTCATTCTGTCATTTCGTCATCATCAGTTTCCGTTCATTATCTTAGTAACGGTTGCACACATTCATCTCAAATTTGACATATGGATATGTCATAAGAAAATACAGGTCAAGTTGAATTTGGTCATGGTTCAATGATTTTTGGCAGAGTTATGCCCCTTTCACTTTGAAAATAATATGAAATTTTCAGTTTCCCTTCATTATTTCCCCAATGGTATTACACATTCAACTCAAATTTGACATATGGATAAGTCAAAGAAATGCGCAGGTAATTTCGAATTTGGTCATGTTTTTGATGATATCTGACAGAATTATCCCTCTTGAACTTTGAAAGAAATCAGAAATTTTTTTAGTTTCCGTTCATTATCTCCCCGATGTTTGTACACATTCAACTCAAATTTGACATAAAGATACAATAAGGAATAAGCAATTTTAGTTTGAATTTGGTAGTGGTTCAATGATTTTGGACAAAGTTATCTCTCTCGAATGTTGGAAAAAATTTGAATTTTCAGTTTCAGCACTCATACTTTTGTGGAAATGTATGTCATTATTTTGGCTAACAAATATGCAATATGCAATTTACAAAAGGTTAACACTGAATCGTTTCAGTGCCTTGAACTTTGTATAAAAATGGTTTGTGTTAACATTAAATAGTTTTAAGGGCTTTGAACTTGAAAAAAATAGTTTGTGCAAACAAATTTGGAACTAAATAAAGTAAATATTATAACATCTGAAATTTTGGCTGCATGCGGGGGGCATCTGTGGCTAACGACACATTTCTAGTTTAATCATATATTTCCATTATAATTATAGCAACACTTTTAGTAATATGCAAATATATAGTTAAATATAGCACCTCTAATTTTTTGGGAGGTTTGTATCACTTTAAATTTTAGTAAGAGTTGGAAATGTTTTGGGGTACCAGTTTAAAAAGTGTTGGGGTACCATGTTAAATTGTGAGAAAAGTTGAGAGTGAGTAAGGAAGGGGTGAACTTGTTCAGTATATAAAGGTTTTGTGTTGAAAAGAACAGGTATAGCAGGTGTGATAATGGTCTATCTAACACACTTCATCACCTGTTGTTATAGTTACCTACATTATACTGTAGCAGACACAGCCTCTCAGATACTTTTATATACTCTAAAATTACTGCTGCACCATGTTTTAAGACTAAGTGAAATACAATTGTTATTTTTCAATTATCTGATTTCTGTTATACTACTTCAGTTTATCTTTTGCTTTGATTATATTATACATATTATTTAAATCAAGAGGAAAAAATACTGTAAAATAGAGCAACAAAATACGTTTTTTACAGGATTTCATTATTAACAGATTGGCAATCCATATCATTGGTTGAAATGCTGTTAAGATTGGTTGTATTTTCAGTCTGTAGATTAAAAGATTCCCTTGACTCGTGGTCAAATCGGTTGTTGTTGCCTCAGATTAAAATGAAAACCCTGATTTTAACAAAATCTAATTGTTTTGATTTTATTTATATTAATACACAAAAATTAATGTAAAGATGCATTGTAACACTCATAAACAGACACTTTGGTGGCATTGAAGAATATTTAAGTAAATCAATCTGTTGTTGCTCAGAATTATTGTAACTAAAATAACAGGGATTATTATTCCTATTGGTAAGAATAATAAGCCAAGATTGAAGTAGAACAGTTCTAAAGATGTGAAGTATACAATATAGAGTACCTGGAGAGAGACCTAGTTTTTTTCTGGTTTGTTTACTTTCTTCATACAGAGTCTTATGCTGATAAATTATGGCAGAGGTAGAAGATATCGAGGTCGAATAGGTGCTAGTAGTTTCTATAAATGGACCATCTTCTTTTAACATAGGTAAAAAAAAAAATGGGGTAAATTTCTATAATTGTTGAAATGGAATTTCAAGAAATTTCCTTGCGTTAAAAATATTGCGCAATAGAATTCTGAATATAGGTAAGTGCAGTTTATAATTGAAGTGCATCATGTGAAGGTGTATATCTAGATATTGACAGTTTTATTTTTGTATCATGAACTTTGCTTCAACCTTGGTTTAACACAGCCGACTGTAACTGACAGTGAAAATTTACATACATGTGTGCTATAAAAAAAGTTTTGAAATGAAAGTGTGATTTTGGATTAAATCGTAGAAAAAGATGAGATTATCTTTTAATTGAGTATGATTTGTGTGATAGAAAGGTGATGTGAGTAAACAGTCGGATAATGTTATATAAACATGAGCGGTGTTTAAAATTTAAGGATATTTTATTATCCAATATTAGATCATGTGAGGAGAAATGATATCAACAGGTACGGTGTATATTTATATGTTTATATCATTGAAACAAAGAAACATATGTCCAATCATAAGCTGTTTTATAAACAGTTATAGATTGTAAGAAGGAATGGTCCAGGCCTGTCAGTCAAAGAAACGTGGGGTCAAGATGTCAAGCCATATGTCACTAGTGCTTCTTTGTACATCATGAAATAAAAACTAAATAATTCTTTAGCCTATAGCATGCAGACATGAGGCCATGATCAATCCTAGCTTCATATGGACACAGTTTAACTTCTTCAGGGTGGCTTCCCCCCTTCCCCCCCCCCCCCCCCCCTAAAAAAATTCTTTAAGACCACACAAAAAAGGTTATTTAAATATTTTTCTTCCTCTTTTGTAAAAATACTGTATTATTTTTCCTTAATTGAAGGGAAGGGCCCAACCTGTACCTGTGAATAGAAACCCCTGGAAAAGTAAGAAATATTGCAAAGAAGTGTATTTAACTGTTTCAACTTCTGTAATTCTATGTCGCATTGATGTTAGGAGTGCAAATTTCATTTTGGTTTCAAATACTTATGGTTGTAACAAATACCACCAGATGTTGATTTATGCCCTGGCTGTTTTGTGAATCATCTATTCACATGGAAAATTTATTTATAGCCAAGGTGAAATTAGATCCATTAAATAATATTCATAATGCATGAATTAGGTAGTATGTAAATAATTCTGTTTTAAGATCAAGGTCCAGTCTTGAATGATATGACTCATTAAAAAACTTGTTTAGTATAGATTACTCTTTTATATCACTTTTTTTTGCAGACCAATGAACAGAATAGGTACAATTTTATCAAATATGAATGGATGCATTTACAAATTATTGTCCGAGGCAAAAGCAAATAATTTTACCTGGTTTGAGAATTTTGCACCTTTGGTGTCCGAAAGTTTCCCATATTAGAAGCTTGTACAGTGATTATAAACTTGGTATTTTTCAGGTGACGCAAGATCACAGGATCTAAAGACTTATACCCGCATCATACCTTCCTATGAATACGATGATTTCCAAGATTTGGATCCTTCCCTTAGTGAGGGACATCGTTCTGGGGCCAAACATAAACATCACTCAGGACGCTATAAACTTGGTCTGAATGGTGAAAATAGACAAAGTGGTCATAACAGAGATTATGATTGGCTGAAATCACAGTGTGAAAGAGCCATGTCTGAACTTCAGGCTTTGAAATCTCAGCAGACGGACAATACAAAACGTTATGAAGCAGTCATGAATGAATCAGATTCATATCGTCAAAGTTACGTGTCAACTCTCAACCAGCTTCAACAGAGCCGAGAGGAGGTTAGTGAAATTCGTGGACAGAACCATGATTTAATAGCAGAAAATAAAAGACTTGAACAGGAAGTGAAAAACTTTAAAAAGTTGAGAGAAGAAGACCAACAAGAAATGGCAGAGTTACGTAAACGTCAACGAGACATAGTTAGTCAAAATGGTTCTAGTGAAGTGTTAAATGCTTTGGACATGTATGATAGGATAAAGCAGGAATATGATTCTCTTCGGGAAAGTTATTCTGATCTAGTCACCCAGCGTAGTGCTTTAGTAACTAAATATGAAAGTGGACAAGAGGAGATTACCCAGCTGAAAAAACAGTATCAGTCTGTGTGTAGTGAACGGGATGCTGCTGTTCATGAAAAGAATGGCTTAAAGCAGCAATGTACTGCTGCAATCAGAAATTGGGACCAAGTTCTACATGAACGTAATGATTTAAATGAGAAAATTATAAAGATAACTCAGCAAATGAACCAAGCTCTGGCAAGTCAGTTACATTTAAAGAAAGAGCTAGAAATTGTTCAGAAAGATAGGGACGCTATATTAAGAGAGTATACTCTCGTGATGTCTGAAAGGGAACAGGTTCATAAAGATATTGAACAACTACAAGAAACTCTTTCAGATGGAACTAAAAAGATTGATGCATTAATGAAGGAGAAAAAGGTTGCCCAAGATGAAGCAGAAACTTTGAAACGTGAGATATCATCAGCCCTTCAGGACAGGGACAGAGCTGTGAAAGAAAGGAATGAATTTAATGAAAAGTGTAATGAGTTGATGTCTAAACATTGTGCTATAGAGAAACAGAGAGAGGATTATAAAAAGAATTACGAAAATTCTATTGAACAAAGAGATATTGCAAGGAAAGAACGACAAGAAGCCATGCAAGATCGGGACCGAATTCTACGAGAAAAATACGAAAGAGAACAGGTTTGTATATATAAATTAATATAGCCGTTTTTTCTGAATCTACAGTTTTTCTAAAGCCCTTTTTTCAATAACAATACAAGCATCACATAAATAACCTAATTGATTTGAATACTTATTCATCTATAGATAAAGAAGTAGTCTTTAAATTCCTGAGCTATAAAACCATCAATCTTTTCATAAAACTGTTGAATTGAATTTAGCAGAAAAAAAGTGTTCATATGATGAGTTGCTGCTTAACATGTTTCATTGCATTCCTAAGTTAACTAGAATAAAGTACATAGATGAACAGATAAGTAAATATTTTGCACAGATAAATGAATTAGAGGATGCAGTTTAAAGTCAAGGTCACCAAACAGGTTATCTTGCTCTCTATTATTTCGTGATTATTTCAGTAGGCCCACCCAGTATTATAGCTTAAAGCTTTCCCTAAATACTTCCTATTTTAGTTGGTCATCATTATAAACTTAACATCCATCATTGTCACTATTACCATCATTGTTATCATCATCACCAGCATCAGGGTCATCATCATAATTGGTATCATTATAGTCATCATCACTTTGTCATCATTACCACCAGCATCGTTGTAAACGTCATTACATCATCATCATCAACATCATCATCATCAACATCATCATCATATCACCAGGATCATTGTTATCATCAACATCAAAATTATCATCATCATCACATTGGCATCATCATTGCCAGTATAATCATAACCATCATTATTGTAAAAATCACTTTGTCATTATCAATATGCACTTTATCATCATTATTATCAGAATTATTATCATTAGCATGATTGTTATCATCATCATTGTGATCATCATCACCAGCATCAGGATCATCATCATAATTGGTATCATTATAATGATCATCACTTTGTCATCATTACCACCAGCATCATTGTAAACATCATTACATCATCATCAACATCATCATAATCACATTGTCATCATCATTGCCAGTATAGTCATAACCAATCATTATTGTAATAATCACTTTGTCATCATCACCACCCACTTTATCATCATTATTATCAGAATTATTATCATTAGCAGGATCGTTATCATCATCATTGTGATCATCAGAATCATGATTGAAAATTAAAAAGAGAAACAACAGTCTCATATTCAGTTATCACTATTGTCAGCATCATCATTGTAACAATCATGTATAATATACCATTCTATAGAATCAAACTGTCTATGCAATACAGAAAATACACAAAGAAATAAAAACAATAACACATTTAAAGGTTTTAAACGTATTTGTTTTAATATGTTTCTGTTTTCTGTCAGAGATCGATCTATTTTGTGAACTTTGAGTTCAGCTATAACACTATACAGTGTGAGCAGTTTTTATACAGTTAATTCCCAGCAGCTGTTGTTTAATTGAAAGCATTTATTAAAACCCTCTGCATGTGTTTATAATTGTTTCATAATTAGACTTAATTATTGAGAGAAAAAAGGCACTATTTATTATTCTATGCAAAGTTTATACTTATTACTAGTAAATGAATGCTTGAATTGCAAATTGATATTACATAAACTGGTCACTTATGAGAAACTTCTTTCAGTTCTTTTTCATGTTGACTACACCAATTGTAATTCATTGCAACATGATTGTAATATGGTTGTGTTTTATTGTAATATTATACTAATAAAGCATGTGGTGTGTAAATTTAAGAGATGTTTACTACACTTTGTTGAATAAAGGTCTCAGTGTCTGAGTTTGAATGAATTCTTATAGCAATATTCGACCTGGAAAGATGATCTGTTTTGTCAATATTTGTGACCTAATAATGCAATTCAAAGAGTTTCAGATTTTTTAAGTGCACAATAATTATTAATCACCTCATTTTTAAAAAGTGATGTTAAGCAGTATGAATATATTTTACATAATTACAAGATCAAGAGTTAAGAGTAGCCTGAAAAAGTCATTAAAATGTGACTATTAGTCTTATCTCATACTCAACACATTTGACCAAGGCTTTTGAAAGTTTACTATGCTTGTTCAACCATCATGGTTGGTATATTACGTAACCTAAAACTTTGAGGTTACTTTGTGTTAAAAACACTAAATAGATTTGGCAACAACAAAAACCACAAAAAAAGAAAAGTGACAAAATCACTCAATTGATTCATAGCACAGAAAATATACAAATTTAATTTATGTCACTCATTGTAGGGCACTTGTCAAATATGAATTTGTCATTATATTTCTGGAGAAATATTCCTGATATTTTACTGTTTAATTTTAACAGTTTCAGAAAGAGAAGGCAGAGATTATGGATCAAGTGAATAAAGAAACAGAACATCTAAAAAAACAAGTGGAAAAACTCCAACAGGAATTATATGGTATGCAAGATTCAATAATATTATGTCCCTTATTTTCATAACTTATCTCCTTTTTGTTGTAATTGATACAATGTAGTTTGGCCTGACCAAGGGAGATTGTTGTAAATGAGCAAATATACAAAGGTAAAGTGATGTTTGTGAATTAAACATCACTCAGCTCTTGAAGACACCTTTCAGTGTTCAGTATGTTTTGTGTATCCTTGAGCTGTACAGGGGGTGCCATGCTGGTAGTATTGAAATCCAGTTAGAGTTTTTGCAGAAAAAGTAATCAGTAAGAATGAGGTTAACAAAAATATGTCAGTGGTTATAAAGCAATAAAAAGACTTGTCTTACTTACCTGTTGCTGATAATAAAATCATAACTTGTTGCAAAAAGAGTTTTGCTTGAAATAGAACTAGTGCTACTGTCCTTATAATTGCTTTCATGTACAGGTTACTTATAGGTCATAGGTAAGACTTGAATCCTGTAATAACTCTTGATTATGACATTTAAATCACTCTAAAAGATCATGCTTTTGAGAGGTTAAGTGATTCTCCAATGTGCCAAATGTGAATGAAATGATCCGTCTAAAAATGATGTTTTTGGTATATTATATGTGCTTATAGAATTTTTTATATATGATATATCATTGATGTTTATAAGATGATCAGTTAATTATTAATAGAGTAGTATTAACAGTGAATTATAAATACATCATGTCAAGGAAACTGTATACCATGCTGTCTCTATCTTTCATATTATGATGAGACACTTTTGATTTACCAAATGTATCAATGTATGTATGCACATGATATGCAAAACAAATCATATTTCAATACAGCAATCAATGTTTGCGTTAATTATCACATTTGACAGGCATATTGTAGTGTAAATGATTTATATGTCCAAAATACAAACAAATTAAATGGCTTGATTGTTTTACAAGATTGTATGCACGAGGCCGAGATAGCTAAAAGTCGGAGAGACTGGGCGATGAGTGAGAGAGACAAGATTGTACAGGAGCGGGACAGTGTGAGGACCCTTTGTGATAACCTGCGGAGAGACAGGGATCGGGCTGTCAGTAAACACGCTCAGGCTCTTAGAGACTATGATGAAATAAAGAAACAGAAACAAGAGGCTCTTCGAGAGCTGAAGGAAACAAAGTAAGTTGACACTTGATAAATTGAAAATGTATAAAATATAATAATCTTATTATATTATAGTCAATAAAGGCTCAATACATGAAAAGTTTCTTACACTGACTGTGGTACTAAAGGGAATAATTAGCTCAGGGGTAAATGTTTATAGTTATAATTTGGCTGTGTCAGTTTCAGCTAAATTGGATCGCTAGGTATTCCCATCTGTGACAGCAGCCTGTGTTTGATTCTTTTTCTTGCATATTACATATTAATCGTTAATTCATTAATCATAATTCTGTAATTACTAATACTTATATTTCATAACACATTTTTTTTTCTTATCTTTCTATGCATGCAAATAATTCATTAAAGACACACAGAAATCATTTCATTTAAGCATGTGACTGGTTTTACATTGGATGTATAAGACAGGTTTTTCTAGCACTGGTATAAACAGTTGAAAATCCTGTCTGATAGGCAAAAAATAAATTCTCATACATGCTGCATTTAATTAATAATGCAATGTTAGCAATGACAAAATGTTCATACGTGTTAGATTTTGGACTTAAAATTAATTAAAACACTTGAAGTTGTAAGATATTGAGTGTAACATTAACATAATATAACATAAAATAATGAAATAAAATAAAAACTAAAAGAAGTTCATATAAAACTTACTAGTAGCAACTATTCAATTGTATTTTCAGGATAAATTGCTATACAAAAATAATATCATCATAACATATTTCTTTCTAAATAACTTCTCTTATCAGGCTTTTATCATTAATAAATTATATACTATGATAAATGTAACACATTTATATTTAGACAAATGTTTAATATTGAAAAGTGATTACAGTGTAACCTCTATGGAATGACCCTCTGTATACCAGTAACCTCTTATAGTGACATTATGCCCATCAGAGTGAAAATGGTCAGTGAACAGATAAAAATCAAAACAACTTGACATTTTGCTATATTTGTGTTCAAGTCTACATTTCAAAAACTAATCATCAATCCATGTAAACAACAGAAATTTCTATAAATATTGTTCTGAATGTATTGGTAACGTTCATTTCTTAAAAAGAGTGGGACAGTCATTTTATAAAAAAGGTTGTTTTATACTGTATCATAAAGATTTTTCATTATCAACTAATTGTCAATTACCATTATAATATTCAATCTTTTGAAATATATTACTACTTCAACGCAACTTGAAAGTGAAAAAATGAGTATAATGTCACTATAGCAACAATTGTATGAATTATTCCAAATGTAATACCTCATAATAAATTAAACTTCTGTACAGCAATACCTCTCCGCTACAGCCAACATTCTTGTCCTTCAAAATGGTTGCTATGCAGAGGTTGCACCAGATACGACATTTCAAGGTGCGCTTGAAATAAGCTCTGCATCCTTTTTATCTATGAAAATAATGACTTTCTCAAGGAATCAAAGTTATCTATTTGAAGGAGACATAACATAAGCCTCTTATACTTCCTCTCTGACTTAAGATGTTTTATTTATAGAAATAAAATAATTAATTAACATGTCAAGTTTGAAAGAAAATGTAACTATGTAGATATGATGGTAGCATATTCAGTGAACATTTATCAGTAAATTGTTACAAACATTAATACACTCCATGCATTTCCAACAAAAACAAGACAGGTTTTTCATAGTGTAATTATTTTCTTGGCTGGTGGAAAACCTTGTTATGTCAAATTTGATAAAAGATGATTTGATTAATTTATAATGCCAGGTAGATTGGAGGCCAGTCTTTTATTCTGATTACAGTCAATATCATTACAGTACAGATTTCTAGTGACTTTGTCTGTTCTTCTGTCTGTCTGAATCAGTTTGTAATTGGGCATCTACAGAAAAGTGTTTATAAAGAAACTTTACATGCTAAGTTGAGTGTTTGATGTTTACAGGTCATGTATATGACATGTTTAAGATCAAACTTTCATGCAAAGTTTTGATACATGGGTCACAACAATGCCTATTCTATAGAGGTTAATGTAAATTTTGGAATAGTCTGAAGATTTCTAAAAATCTATTAGATGATTGAAATCCAATTCACATATAAAGTCTTATAATACTCTTACATTATATCCTGGCAGGATGTTTTTGTCATTTTTAGTGCCACTAGTCTCATATGTTAATCAACAAATGGGAATTTTAGCTAAGTTTGGAACAGCTTTATGGGTTTTAATAGGAAATTAGTTTCCTTTCACTGTGTCACCAAGTGTACTTACCTTTCAACTACCAGCTCAGACAAATAAATCAGTGATTTTTATATCTTTCTAAGTATATTTCTTGAAAAAGCAAGAATAGTGATTACATATGTAACTTTTTGTCTGAAAATGCATTGTTAGTACACAGATTTAAGACAGTTATCAGCTTTTTAAGTACACAGATTTAAGACAGTTATCAGCTATTTAGTTTTCTTTAACTCTAAGAATGCAGTGTTTAGTTACAGTGTCACAGGGTGTCCATGGTTAAGGTTGTTGACGGCAAGAAGTTGCCCCTTACCCCTGTGGTTTTGCATACCCCTTGAAACTTTGGATTTTTTCACTCTATCTATCTAGCTTCAGGAACTTTGGTTTTGCTTTTGAGGTGCCTTTTCATGTCTGAAATAAATCACAGACTTCCTACTCCAATAAAGCTGAAAAGTTGCCAAATGACTTTTTAAAACTGTTGTGGTTCAAATCCAACAAAAAAGACATGTCATGATTGCAGTCATAGCATCCTATCTATACATTTACACTGGTGTATAAATTCAGCATTTTGATATTAAACACCAAATGTACCAGTACTGGTTCAAGTTATTATCAATAAATAGTTATTCAAAGCAGCACTAGTTCATTCATATTGTATATTAAATTTATTATGCACAATTTTGATGATGATGTTTAGATAGGTAATGTAAAAAGACTTAGTTGTATGATGTAAAAACAAAAGGCAACTATGTACTAAAATCAGGTTGTTCTCATTTGCCAGGCACTTTAGTTTGTTAAAAGATTTCATAGAACGACTCCCCCCAAAAAGTTGTTTTTATTGTAGTTAGATTTTTTTATCATAAGAAGATACAAGTGTGAAAACAATAGGGATTAGCGGAAGATAATGCAATGAACAGACTTTATTATAGAGATAACACTTAAAACAGAAGCTGTAGATGATGTTCTTTGTACTTGTAATAAGTAGGGCAGAAGTGTTTCAAGTACGTGTAATACACTATCAGTTACAGATGCTTGTCTTTTCAGCTGTGTTTTTTCCTCTAACAAGAGATTTCCTATACTTTCAGGCTTAGAAGCTCTTATGTATTATGGTCAAATTTTGTACTCCATTCAAAGTTGCATGTAACTATTATTCTTACAATTTTAAATGTTTTGAATTTGTTAATAAGTTAAGTCATTTGTGAAGGCTTTCAGTGCCTTAATGCATCAAGTTAATGAACATATGTTGGAATAAAGTTGATATTATTCATGAGTAAATAGCTAACTGTTTGAATTTGTTCTTCAAAGAAAATCAGAAATCTCTCCTTTGCAATGCCTGAGAATTTCAATGTCTTACTAGAGTTCTAGAAATTTAAGAAAGCAAGCCTGAAACTTTGAATGAACATTTTAAAAGTGTTTGTCACTGCCTATTTTCCCTAACATGCTTGTGAAAGAGTCAGACCATTTGGCATATCCTATTTAAATGATACTGGTAGCTCCTCAGTTTTCAATAGTATTTTAATTCAGGGCATATACACCTTAACTCTAGGGGCCAAATAAAGACCCCATTTCCCAATGCAAATTTCACTGCAAATTATTTTTCCCAAATTAAAAATAAAATCCCAACAGTTGCTCAAATAATCAAACTGTTTAAACTTCTGGGAAAATTTTTGTTTTAACATTTCTTAAAAGAAGTGACAGGTTATATGATCATTCAAATGTTCAAAAACTAAAAAGTCATGTGTAAGGTAGTGGCTTTTTTTTTTCTTCAAATTTTCCAAAATGTTAAATATTTTTCTTCCATAATATTACCAGAGACCTTTACCCAATCTGTTCTTGGAAAAGACCGTGTAGTGATATTGAAATCCCTGAATGTCACAATGGACATTTCCTAGTTCAAGCAGGACTAGTCCATTATAGACTGTCACCAGGGTAAAGGTTAAATCTCTTTATTTAACATATTAAGTGATGGTATAAATTTGAAAAGAAGGGGCTTGACTGAATGACTTTATTGTAGGAAGTAGATAACAGTAGCCAATTTGTTTGAATTGCTTCTGTTTATTGTATTGTAAGGACAGCAATTGTTTTTTTCATTCATGTACCGGATTATCACAATTAAAACCATCTTTTTTTTTCCAATAGATGACCAGCTTTTAACCACTAAATTTCGCTGACACATTGAATATGACATAATGTTATCTTGATAACAAAAGTTTGCCATTAACTGATGTAGAGATATGGTGAAGATAAAACGGAGATAGTGTATTAAAAAAAGATTGGCTTATTTACAACAGCCACTTGAAACAATTGTTGTCAACAGGCCTTGGATGTAAATATACTTAATTTGCATATCATGAGAGGCGTTATGAATATTAATAAGATCACTTCATACAAGCATAATGAGTGGTTGTCCTATTTGAAGCATGTTACAAAAAAGCAGTTTAAAAATTGTTTCCTGGAGATCAAAATAGTAATTGTATTTTAACAAGAAAGGTTGTTTTGTCATTATATTCTCAAGTGCTAGCTGCCCTTAAACTTGGCAATGTCTACAGTGAAGAGCTTAGGTTACCAAAGGGCCAATCAGACTCCATGTTGTTTGATTTGATTGTGGTTATCCAATCATCTGGTGTCCCATTGAATCTTTTGTTTTTCAATTCAAAGCAATATAACTCCATTACAAAAATTCAGAGTTAAAAATCTGCTATCCTGTCCTGTCAGTTCAGCATAAAAAACCCAATGGTGGTTGGTTACATGTCTCATTTGTTTTAAGCATTCTCAATTACTTTGAATGATGGACTTTGTTTAGAAATTTAAACAGTATAAAAGAGGCTGGTCAGGCTACAGAGTTCCTGTGACTATTGGTGCAATGCACAAGCCTGCAATATTAGCAAACACTGAACAGGATATTTTATATTTTACAATAGGGTTGTCTTCTTAATTAACTTTTGTACATTTAGACCCCGATTAGATAAAAATGTCATCATAAATTTTATCTCCTTTGATCATGTGATATTGTAGTTATAATGATTTATCATCCTTTAATTAATAACATCACAGAATTTTATACACAAACAGAATGCACTCAAATATTTTTATTGTCAAATTAAGCATCTCGTCTGACTGTTTGATCACCATCAATCATGATATCTGTTCAGTAGAAATAGATAAATAATTGGAAAAGTGAATATATATGAGCTGCGCAATGACAAAACCAACATAATGCGTTTGCGACCAGCATGGATCCAAACCAGCCTGCGGATCTGCGCAGTCTGATCAGGATTCATGCTGTTCCCTTACAAACCCTATAACAAGTAGAGAAACTGATGGCGAACAGCATTGATCCTGATCAGACTGCGCAGATGCGCAGGCTGGTCTGGATCCATGCTGGTCACAAAACCCATTATGTTGGTTTTGTCATGGCACGGCTCTTTAATGTTGAATTAAAGGGAGATATTGTACATATTTTTCAGGGTAAATGTTCAAACAATAACAACTGTTTTAGAAAGTCTTCATAGGAAAATATTACAATTTATGTTAAGTATACCCATATATCAGTGGTTATGACAAATTTGTGCCCTGTACATAATTAATCAAAATTGTTTTTTTTATTTAATTGCAACCTACACTGTGCACTAATATTCATATATTACATATATATTTGTACAGTAAGATGGGCTGGTAATATATTGAGGAAAAGCTCAACTTTTCATACATGGAAGTGAAGATAAATGTCAGGTTAATTACTGATGCATTACATTTAGTGTAAAATTAATTAGACAATAAGGAAATGATTAAAGCAGCAATTAAACTTTTGGAACATTAGATAGTTGTAATCCTGTATAGTTTAAGAGAGAGAAACAATAAATCTCCTATTAATTGTTGATTATAGTTATATAGATGTTCCTAGGATTCTTTGATGTATATATCTCTTTTTAGCTCGACTATTCGAAGAATATGAGAGCTATTCTAGTCGCCCCGGCGTCGGTGTCAGCGTCCGCGTCGGCGTCTGCGTTGGTTAAAGTTTTTTGTAAAGTCAAATATCTCAATTACTGCTAGAGATATTCAATTGAAACTTACAATACTTATTTATAGTAACAAGGTACATCAGATTGACAAGTTGGATAACTCTGCCTACAATATTGACAGAATTATGCCCCTTTTTAACTTAGAAATTTTGGTTAAAGTTTTTTGTAAAGTCAAATATCTCAGTTATTGCTTGAGATATTCAATTGAAACTTACAATACTTATTTATAGTAACAAGGTACATCAGATTGACAAGTTGGATAACTCTGCCTACAATATTGACAGAATTATGCCCCTTTTAACTTAGAAATGTTGGTTAAAGTTTTTTGTGAAGTCAAATATCTCAATTATTGCTTGAGATATTCAATTGAAACTTACAATACTTATTTATAGTAACAAGGTTCATCAGATTGACAAGTTGGATAACTCTGCCTACAATATTGACAGAATTATACCCCTTTGGAACTTAGAAATTTTGGTTAAAGTTTTTTTTGTAAAGTCAAATATCTTAATTATTGCTTGAGATATTCAATTGAAATTTAAAATACTCTTTTATAGTAACAATGTATATCAGTTTGCAAAATTGCATAACACTGCCTGCAATATTTGCAGAATTATTTGCCCCTTTGAAACTTAGAATTTTTGGTTAAAGGTTAAAGGTCTTCAAAGATATTTACTTGAAACTTTACACATGCACTTAGGGTCATAATTGAAGGGTCATAATTGTATGTCACTGACCAAGTTCCATAACTCTATCTTGCATTAAGGCTGATTCATATCCCCTTTTCTACTTAGTCTCTTGGTTAATGTTAACATGATAGTTTTACATATCTCAATAACTATTAAAGATATTTATTTAAAACTTCACATATGCATTTAGGGTCATAATTGTAGGTCACTGACAATGATCCATAATTCTATCTTGCATTTAGGCTGATTTTTCTCCCCTTTATCAACTTAAAAATTCATGGTAAAGTTTTGCTTGTAACCTGTTATCTCAATAACTACTGAAGGGTTTGTACCTTTTTTGGGACAATTTTATGCATTCATAATAATAAAGCAGTGATTAACTTGATAAAACATCTTAATAACAAGCCTTTGTACCTTTTCTGTCAAATGTATGTATTCATAGGTAATTAGTATTATTTTACTCAATTAAACACCCTTGTGACATTACCTTCCGAATAGTCAAGCCAATACTGTATAATTAGACTCTCTCTAAGGCCTATAACATGAATTTATGAAAAAAATTAGCTCTTTTGTGAACTTAAAAAATTTAACATTATAAAGGCTCTTTTACTATCAAGCACTTAGAATAGTCGAGCGTGCTGTCCTACCGACAGCTCTTGTTAAATCTCATTTTCAATGAAATAAAGCAGATTTATTGCAAATAAATTAATTTATAATAAAGGTTGCATTTGTATTTTTTGATTAAATGTAATAATTTTGAAAATCATGTCAATAAAATATGTCCTTTAAAATCATCTGATTTGATTGTTAAGATAAATATGTAGGGTATATTTTGTTAAGTTCAGTTAAGTGTAAACCTGGAAATTATAATTAAAGTTTAATGTGAGCATATATCATATCAAAGGGAAATAACTTGTGAATCTGCAGCAATTACTGATAGGTATAGTAAAACATGATTGTGTTTTCATCACTGGGTTCGAATGGAGCTGATTTTGACTATTTTACATTACTGTATCCTCAAAAGATGAATATATTAAATTTTTGTTTCAAATATGGCACTGAACTTAGAAAGTAAGTCAGATATTTTATTAACTGAACAGAACATATAATTTGTTTTGAATTAAGTATATACAGCACATCTTCATATACGACAATATAAATTATACATGCATGAACACTTATTTATGTTACAATTGGTCCAAAAATCCTACAAACTGTGCAGTATTGTCATATTTTGTATCAAATTTGCTTTGATTAACATTTAGTTATTAATTTCCTGAAGTGCAAATTAATTCCCTGTGTGTGAAATATTAATTCTCTAATTTCAGAGAGAAGTATGAATTGGTGAATGATAAAGAGTCCAGAAAAAGTCAGTTGAATTCAGTTGGTCACAATCGTAGCCGAGACTCTGCAATAGATGCAGATCTTCAGGAGTTTGAGACTGAGACTATTGATGTAGAACTGGTAAGTGGTGATATTATCAGCCTAAAAACTAAGTTATCTAACTTGGACTCATTGATTTGACTTGGCCAATATCAGTCTGCAGTGTGGGTCAGATTGTTTTTCATCACCTTTGAACTTAAACTGAACATTGAGGCAGTTGCAGAGCATTTAGAGACAGGTTTTTAAGTTTTTATCTTTTAAGACGTCAAATAACCAACTGCTGGTAAGTAAACAAGAAACAGATGATAGTTAATAAATAAGAATCCTTATTATTGTTCATATCCTGATAAACAAGATTTGTGAATCAAATGTAAAATAAATGTAGTATTTATGTTTAGTAATATCCCTGTGCATTGACATATTTCAGACTGGCATGAATAAAGATGACCTTGGATTTGACCTTGTCGGAGGGAAAGATGACCCTCAATATCCGAATGACAATTCTATTTTTGTAAGTCATGTAACCAAAGGGAGTCTAGCTGAAGGAAAACTAAAGTAAGTACTAGTATAAGCTTTATAGTTTATTTTGTACATTATTGCCATGATGATGGATTCATAAAAAGAAAATGGGGCATGCTAAGAACATATTACTATTGAGTATGATTCAAGAGATGCTTCAAATGTGCACTTCATCCTGGTCTGTAAAATTTGTTAAAAAGCATATGGTAAACAGAAGAAAAAGCCAAGTACACTGCTAATATAGTTGTAGGGTATAAATGGAAAGACTTAATTAAAGCACGGAGGAAGGTAGTCTAGTACTGGTGTAACTCTCCAGGAACAAAGGTTAGGAAACTACCCGCCTATTTGACTGAAATACTGTTGGGAAAAGGCGTAAAATGAAACAAACAAACAAACAAACTTAATTAAAATAGGTGCAAAGAGTTGACTTAAGAAAAAAGGTGAATATGAAGATGTGTCACAAATCTAGTATCAGTTACAGGAATTTACAAAAAGGTTGAATGACCTTCAACTTTGCCTTGCTGAACTTGTATAATGGACTTTATTTGTATGTAACTGTCCTTTTTAATAGGTATGTTTTAAATATCAAAACATTGAAAATAATCAGCTGATTTCTGTGTAGTTTAATTATACTGCTAGGATTAATATCATAATATTGCAGTTAGCTCTCTAAACACAGAACTATTTTAGTTTATACTTATTTATTTAAGTTCTATTGTGTAGGAAGCTGTAAGCTTATTGAAACACTCTCAAACCACCCAGTACTAACTAGTCTGAACTCTGATGCACTAACAACTCTGCCATGCCACCACCAGAAATACTTTCATTATTGTGCCTTATTTTATCGTTGTGTATTTAGGATGAATGACCAGATTCTGCGTATCAACAATAAAGATGTGACAAATGTAGATAAAAGATATGCTGTTGGTCTGTTGAGGAACCGATCAGGAATAGCTACTGTGGTGAGTTTCAGAAATTCTGTGTGTGATAAATACTTGATCTTAATTGCTAAAGGAGCTAACTTACAAAAGTAAATATTAACAACTTTACATACTTTCATTTAAAGAAAAAATGACCGACAACTTCACATGTTTTATATTAAGAAAGATTGTTATTATTCTATTCTGATGGAAATTTTAACATATCAGCTTACTGATTCTTGTTTTCACTAGCACTATCTTATACAAACGTAAGGGATATATATTTCTTATGAATCTTTTGCTATGATGTAAGTTTGATTTTAAATATGTGCACCTTGTGTCAGCCTTGTAGATGATATTTTATATCATTCAGACTTTATTCTTCTGTGTACTTCATCAGCAACCTATATAAACTACATGTCGTATTATAAAAGGCAATTAAGTTGGCTTTTTACATATTAATGTTCCTGAAAAGGGTGTTTTATTTTTTTTTGCACGTTTATTTTTGTGCATTATTTGAAGGGAGGTAGAGTGTTTTACAAGGATCGACACCTGTTTCCATTTTATGTGGGTTTAAGAGTTTCAGATATATTCCACAGTGTTGTACACTAAAACAATTGGCTCCTTTTGAAAAATGAAATTAATTTGGGGAAAAAAAAAGCGAAAAAAAGTTTGATTTAGGACTTGTGTTTGATAGTTATGTATGCTGTTCTGATGGTTATGTTATGTAATGATTTTTAATTCTTTATTATAATAACATAATAGATTGAATATGTAATGAATTAATTTTGAGCAATTCTGTTGTTTTATATTACAGCAGTTGTTAAGAAGACGTAAAATTTCACCATCTACGAGTAGATCCTGGCAGTCTATACAGTTCAGCATACCTCCGGGAAAAGGTACATTATCTTTTACAGTTTGTAACAAAGTCAGTGACCAAAAATATGTGACAACTTCAATGATATTAAATTAAACAATCAAAGATAAATTTTGTGTTACCTAGACCCTCTTGATAATTTGTAAATAAGATGCAGTATAAAAAAAATGTTTCTTTTAAATTTTTCGTCCATACCTGCAAAATATTGCATGTCCCATGGTTCAAAACTTGTGAAGCAGGTGAATACATGTACTTGCAATTAAAATTGTATTTAATTAAGCTGTAAAATGTAGACAGTATGATGAAAAGAACTAAACCTTTTAAGAAATTTCTTTTATGCTATAGAGTTGGATCACATTGTATATGTGTAGAGGATGGCATGGCTGTAGGCATTATTATTATTACTACCTCCGAAAGTCCTAAGGTAATTATTAGGACACAATACCTAATGCTGTACATGTCATGATTGTATGTTTTACAGATATTGGAATACACCTGGAGAATGGTCTTTATGTTACAAGAGTGAACCCTGGATCTTACTCTGCTAAAGAGGGCCTAATTACAGTTGGAGATAGAATAATGAGTGTAAGTAGTTAAATTACCTGTTAAATTGATATAAATAATTTATGCCAGTAAAAGGTTAGCTACAGAGGTTAATGACCAATGGAGACACCTGGGGTCTTTGTCCTACATGAACCACTTTGCAAGTTACCAATTAGTCAAGATGACTTCAAGTTATTCATGAGAAGTTAGTGTTTTATGTAAAATTTTGCTCTAGATTTGAGCAGTATGACAAGTATTATTATCCCTTCTCAGTTGTATTGCTGGTTAAAATGCAGGTGATGCTTTAATATTCCACATGGCTAAATTACTTTATGCAATTCCGGAGGAGAGTTATCAGTTACATTCAAAGAAAAAAGGCTTAATTTGTGGTGTGGGGTAATTGATTGAGCTTCAAAGAGAAAAATAAAATAATAAAATTTTGCTGCATAATAATATTCTGATTATAGTATTTGATGGGCAATTAGAATCAATTAGGGTTTTTATCAGTCTATTGCTTGGAGAAAATATGTTTGATCTTTAAAAATGTTAGTATGATTTAATAGTACAGACGACCATTATAAGTTTGTTGTAACAAAATCATTTAAACACGTTCTTTCCAGTACAGTATTGATGTTTAAATGAAATATAAGAAATGTTGTCAAATTCTATCAGTAAATGGATTTTTCTTAAAATGACATTTCATTGTTTTAAGTAGTATTAAAGTGTTATGTTTTTATTTTAGGTGAATGGGCGAAGTGTAGAGAATATGAGCCCTGAAGACTTGCAGAAAGTACTATATCAATGTGGAGGGGAAACAATAATGCTTGATGTATGGAGACAGACAACTCCGCTCAGTTCTGCTGGTTCTTCACCAGTTCCCATTGTAGCTAATGTACAAGAACAGCTTCTTAGTTCCCCATTGAAATCAGACTCCTCAAAACGCTGGGAATCAACAAGTGAAAGTAGTAAAGGCAGTATAAAAAACATAAAAAGTAGTGGTTCTCAGACAGACAGTCTGGATAGTCCAGGAATGCCGAGACGGCCCAAAGACAGAAAACATTCAGACAAAGATTTGGATAATAAAGGCAGACATAGTGTACATATTTTAGAAACTGTAAACAAATTTTTCCGTCCAAGGCATAAGAGTTCTGAAAGAACTGACAATGAAAAAGGGACATTGACCCTAAGTAGACCTCAAACTATGATAGAAGACAGTAGTGGTCTTGTTGAATTTTCATTTCCAACACACCGGAGAGATAATTCTGGGTCATCAAACACTAACAGGAGTAGTGGTAGGAGCAGGGATTATGATCGTGAAATAAGTGGCACAGGCACCTGGCCAAATCGCATTAAGATTTCAAATACTGCCAATAGCAATGGAACTGTGATACAAATACAGAAAAACCACCCAAAACGCCCAACTATTGATGCTGTGATAAATCATTCAGGGGAGAACATCCCCACAGCTAGAGTGCCACCTCTACCCCCAGAGAGAAACAATTCATCATTTGTGGCAACAAGGCATACACCACAGAATTCAGATTCAACCATTACACATAGCTCTCATCCTCCATCACCCTCATTATCACCACAGCCTAGTACTTCTAGTACAAGCTCTTACTTTCCTAAATCACCTACACCTAGAAGCTCATTTAATATCCATGAACCATCTGATTCACAGAGTTCTCTTAGTCAAGCTGTCTTTTCACATTTTCAAGGTCAAGGTCATTCTCAGAACCAAACACATTCTCAAAGTCAACAAGGTCATCTAAACCACAGGTCAACAAAGGTTAACAATACAAGAAATCCACCAAGAATGCCACACATACCTAGCCAAGTGGCCACAGGACAGTTTAATTTGGAATTTAAGTCAAGCAATCCAGGTCGAAGAAGACCATTATCAGGCCAGCCTCATGAATCTAGAAATACATGCACGTACCTGTCACCAGCTAGTCACCAGCCTCCCAGGATGGAATATGGTCAATTTGGTAGTCGTTCTAACAACACCACACCAGAACCATTAAAACCACCTCCACCTTGTTTGACAGACAGGCCACCTGGTGGAAGACCGCACCCAACCCCCAGTTCATTGCCATTAAGGTAAGTTAATCAAAAAGAAAGCACTAAAATTAGAATTCATTTAAATCTAACCAATAAATTTCTGAGGTTGTAAAGTAAAAATACTGTCATTCAAGTATGTGTGAAAAACTAAATAAATCAAATGAATTATCTGCTATTTCTGTAATATCTGCACTTCAGTAAAATTCTACTTCCTATATTGATACAACTGTTGAAATACATTTAAAATGACATGATCTGTGCTTATTTGTTTGTTTTTGTTTCGAAGCATTTTGTTGCCTATTAATTTTCATAGAAGAATGAGCTAACCTCATGAAGTACAGACTTATTATTTTTTTAACGGACATTCGCACATACAATATAAATGTGGTTATGAGAATTGAAAAATATTTACACAATATTGAGGTTTTTTTTTCACTGGAACACTATTTCTATTCACAGTTTGCCAGGGGAGAAGCCTTTACCAGTTGCATCCCAACCAGTTGTAGCAAAACCATACACAAATGTACACCAGGCGACAAAGTCAATACATATGCCACCATTTATTACCCCACTCCCTGGAGCAACATTCCCGGACAGTATGCAGGAGTTAGATCATTTACCACCCTACAATGGCAGTACATCTGAATGGAGCTCCCCAAGTCCATCACAGTTCTCTGCCATAGAGAGTAGCTTTACCCCAACACCAAGTGAGCATTATCCTAACCATGGATTTCCAGGGTCCTCCCCTGTTGGTCCGGGCATTGACTCAGACTTTCATTTACACAATAGAGGGTACCATAACAAGTTTAGGATTCCATCAACTCCAAGTATGACTACCAATGATACATCAGGCTCTGTTGAAGTTGGTAAGTAATATTTCGAGTGATTGTAATTTGGAAATACACATACTTGTTGTAAATTTCATTATAAAAGAATTCAGCCATCAGTTAACAGAATTTGATTTCAATCCATACATGGAGAAAGATTTGATGTAGCAATTTGATCAAAATGCCCATCTAAAGATATACTATGCTCAAATTTGATATCAGAAAATATTGATAATTATGCTACACAGTCTATATGTAGAAAATAAACATGTTTTGACTTCTCACAAAGATATGTCTACATGCTATAGGTGGATTTAAGGTCATTAAAAAAAATGGCAGTTTCTTTTAGAAAACACCAACTTTACTTGAACTGTTATGGGATACGCAGCTTTATATACATAGTTTGTTCATTCTTTTATTAAAATTAGACATATTCAGTAAAAATTTCATAAATTTAAAGAAATCTCTGTGATTAAAGTATTTTACTAAAGAATGAGCATGTATATCTTTAAAATGAAAATGTAGTTCATTTGGGCAGCTATATGGTGTGTGACTTATAAAGGGAGGTAATTTAGTATTGTTTGTATTTTAGTGTCAGACCGCAGCAGTCCTGGCTCACCATTCCATGATTTCAGCATTCCCAAGATGTTGCCAATTACATCACCTCATGCTGATTCCATTCCATACAGGAAAAAGTATGTAAAATATTTATACTATTTGTGTATATATCAAAAGATTAGAGTCTTTATTGTTTAAGGTAACAGATTGTCAGCTTGTTGCTGTAAGGAAAAGATTGTTTTGCCAATAATATCCTCAATGTAGTGGAGTCGACAGACTGTAAATGTAAGACAGGTCCATTTAGAATAATTTTACATATAGTAATGTCAATCTTGTGTCATGAAAATCACAAAAATTACTGGTCAGAACTAAATCACATCTTCATGTGAAGATGAAGGTCAGGACCAATGACATGTCTTGCAAAATTTCTGATCATTTGCTTACTCCATTTTTTCCAGAATAGTAATTTTTGTTTGCAAAAATTACCCCATAATGAAAAGTGCTTAAATTCTTTTAACTCAAACTGGGCTAAGAGTCACACAAAAAATCAATTTTCAAATAGATTCTATTCTGAGTACAATTTTATTATAACCATTTGCACATTTTTCTGTAAAGTGCCCAAGTTGATCTATATTAGAACTGAAAGTTTAATACTTTTAGACTTTTGGAGCTCAATGGAGTTCCTTTAAGATAATGAATTATGTCAATGAATTCTAGGATCAATACTTAAAGTCATTGACATGTATGTTGAATTATTTTCAGACCCAAGTCAGGGGAGACAAGAAAGATCAGTATAGAGAAGACATCAAAACTTGTTGGTTTTCAGATTGAGATGGGACCGAGTGGTGGTATATTTGTCTCTTCAGTTAACGAGAACAGTTTGGCGGCTCAGGCTGGACTGGTAATTGGGGACCAATTACTTGAGGTATTTTTTTTTCGAATAATCAGTTAAAGAATATTGTGTAGATACCAAGGCTAGGCAGAAAATTTGACTGTAAACACACTATGATCAGGTTTTACTCCTGACATACAGAAATGATTTTAAAACACCATTTTACATTAAATTTGAGTAATTTGTACATGATAAGGGTATGCAAAACAAAAAGAAGAATGTAAAACTCTTAGTAATAAAGAAAATCAATTTTCATTTTTTCTTTTCTTATGTGCCTTACTTAGTTTTGTATGGTATTTGTGATAATTTATTAGAACATTTATAAAAACACTATGTATAGGTTAGAGTGCATATTGGGTGTTCTTCGTAAATAAGAAAGCTAAAAAGGAGCGGAGCTTGCGAAGCGACTGTAGCTTTCTTATTTACGAAGAACATCCAATTTGCACTCTAACCGGCTTAGTGCTCCGCCCACTTGCGTTTTATAATATAAAACGTCCAGTTTATATAAAATCTGTTCTATTAAGATTTGTAACCTGAAAATTTGAAAAATCCTCGTCGGTGATTGGCTTAAAAAAATTGGCGAGCACTAAGGTCAGTTAGTCTGCAGCAAGTCAGTATCCTAATACTATATGTTATATTTATTCTGAAAATTCCATAACAGTCATTACAAACAATGATGTCAAACAATGCTAAATTAAATGACATACTCTATATGTGATGGACAATTTAATTTGTCATATGATTTCTTTTTAGATTTGTCTTTTTATATAGGTCATTATTTCACTGCTTTATACTGTAAAATATAACTTTTATTTTGCCAATAATATTTAGAATTTTAGGATTAAGAATATACTGTATTATGTTACAGATATGTGCAATCAACATGAGAAATGCCACATATGATCTAGCTGCACGAGTATTACAACAGTGTGGTAATAACCTTACCATGCTGGTACAGTTCAACCCTGAAAGTATGTCTTCTTGATATTCTATATAATTTTCTGTTAAATATTATTTAGCAGGTGAATATGATGTGATATGTACTGAAAAAAATGATATTGACCAAGGCGATTTTTATTAAAATCTAATATTGATATAAGATTTTGCAGCTTAATTAAATTAATGTCTCAGTTATTTAAGCTAATATATTGGGTATTTTTATGTTCAGTTACTATCTAAGATTAGAATGCCCAAGGATGAGAACATATTCTTGTTCATCACAATTTAATCTTTAAGCTGCTAAAACCAAAAATGAGAAGCCTTTTCCAAAAAATGACTTCAGTGCAGTCTGACTATGCACTATACTGTTGGCTTGGTAACTTTAATATCTATCTTGATGACTTCTAAGTTGGTAACGGATTGTTCCTAAATTGTAAGTCGGGCAAGTCCATTAAGACATTTAATTTGGTAAGGGTTAAAGAATTTAAGATAAGATGATTATGCAGGTATGACATTGTTATTGTAGTAATAATAATACAATGGTATATTTAATATTACAGAGTATAATGATAATGACAGTGGATCATCGGCTGCCAGTTCAACAAATACGTCTCCACTAAACTCTCCAGATGCTAAGTCAGGCAAAAGTAGAGTGTTTAATGGCATCTCTCAGAGAGAAACTCCTAAATCTCCTTCTCGTGTACATAGTCATAGGTATGTAGAAAAAATTGAAAGTTTCATATTGAATAATTATAAATTCTAAAGTATAAGCTTAGGCAATATAGGTCATACGCCAACAATACTGTCAATCCAGTCTCTTATTTTATATGTTTTAACAAAATTGTATATCACTGTTCAGTTTGATGTTAAATCAAATAGTTTATGAAGAATATAATCATGTTTACATATTGATTTCATTTTGAGTAAGCCTGTAAAGTATATTGATTTTAAGACATGTATTTACATATGTGTTTTACAATTCTAGTCCTAAATTCACTCTAATATTAAAGTTTTGTTCATATTGTAATTCTATAATTGATATTGTTCATTGGTGTGCAGATAAATTCTTTCGAAGATAATTTTTCCTGAGGAACTGAAATTAAATTGATATTATTTAGTAGTTCTACCAAGGTGCTGGTTCATCCTTTAAATCAGGCTGGTGTTAGAGAGGCACTTGCATGTCTTCCTCCGCCTGTATACATGTCAAACATCTGTTTATGATATTTTTGTAGCTTTGAATATAAGAAAATAACAATTTAAAAAAGTTGTATATTTAATACTGTGTATTTGTTTTGCAGTAGTTCTATGGGAAAGTATGATGCTCAGAGGAAGGTGTCATTTAAGAAACCAAATCCAAGTGCAAGTCTTGGGATTTCACTAACTGGAGGTAATGCTACTGGTATATTTGTACACAATATAGAGGAGGGAAGTCCAGCTGCTGGCCATAATGGGGTACATCAGGGAGATCAGATTCTTGAGGTATGGTAACATCTTAGTCTCACTTCATTTGATACCAGTATAATGAAATGATAAAATTTGCTTGAATTGGTATATAGTTTTTCTTCATTTTGATGAAAACAACACTAAGGATAGTTAATTATTATGAAGGTTATGTATATATTGTATTTGTAGTTTTCTGCCAAGTAAGTGTCCCTTGCTTGATACGCAAAATTTAAAGTGAAACATGGAAATTACAAAAAATAAATTCATATATACTTCAAAGAAGTATGTTTACAAATCAAAGTTATATATCTTTATAAACTGACTGTGTTCTTTTCTATTTTCTGTCCAGTACAATGGTATAGACTTCACACGTGCCACAGCAGAACAGGCCTACAGACATCTAAATGAACCATGCTCGTCTGTCAGATTCCGAGTTAGATATCATCCTTCATGTAAGTTTTTTGTACATCTTGGTTTAGAGTTTGGACAGGTTACATTACATATCTTGCTAACTTACCAGGCTCTATATTGCAGAGTGCTTTGTGTTATCAGTTTGAAATAGAATTTGTTTAAATTTACAATTGATAGCATTTCAAAAGTGGAAAGCAGGGAATGCATGTTACAAAAATTATGAGGTTAATGATAATAAGGTATGAATATGTTTTGTTTAAAAATTAATAATCATTTACATTTTGTACTTGTAAATAATACTAAAGCTATAATACAAAGAGCCAAACATTATTTTAAAGAGTTTTTACAGTGATGAAGACTTGTTGTTACCACTGTTATAGAGCAAGGAGAGCCTACACATTGTAGACTGGTAGAATTGATAGATTACATTATTTAAGTTCTTGAGCAAAAATTGTACACAAAAAAAATTCATGTACCAATATTCCCATTTGAAATGACTTTACAATTCTGCACATGTAATTTAAATATATGTAATGAATACTGTCAGCACCAGTGTAATGTATGGACTTTATGTTGTCTTTATTTTCAGTATATAACAAAGTGCGAAACAAGAAAAGTGTTGATTCGATATATGTCCGTGCTATGATAGATCATAATGCGGAGAAAGACAAAGAAGGTGACCTGAGTTTCCGTAAAGATGATCTCCTACATATAGAAGATACGATGCATAAAGGACAGAAAGGTGTCTGGTATGCATGGATTATAAGTGATTATGGTGAAAAAATCAAGGGAGGGACCATTCCAAGTAAAGATAGGTATGTTATGGTAATGTTTGCAAATAATTGTGAAAATCGTTCTCATGTAATTTATACATCATGGTATTATTATTAATAGGATTTGTAATTATGCTGACTGTGTGAGTTCAAACCCTGTCAGGGGTAAGCAGTTGTTTCTTTGAGCAAGAAACTTTACATTCATTGCTAAGTACTGGTTAGTTCCAGGAACGGATTCGAGAGTATTTCAATAAGCTTATAGCTTCTGACACAATCAAACTAAGATAAATTTGTATAAACTATTTATGTATTTGTAAAACTACTTTATTTTGGTTCAGTGGCATGAAACCTTTAGTGTGAACAGGAATATGATTATTTACAAATAATTTCACTTACAAGTGCTTCGTAATCTTTTGACTTTATTAGCACTAAAATTTGACCCTTTATTTGCCCAAATAGAGATGTAGATTAAAGATTTACAAACTTTTTTACATTAGAGGAGAAATAAACAGAACACTAAATTCCTATTCTGAATCTGTAATAATTTGTATGAAATAAATTAAATGAAAAACATACTGCAGAAAATATAAATTGTTTCTTTTATTGTAAGTTGGTGCCTAATACCATATTTTACTGTTACTGCTTCACATTTGATAAATTTTTACTATGACAATCCTTATATAATATGCCAATCATAATATTATAAAAAAACTGTTACTCTGAACTTCAGATTAGAGGATAACTTGTCGTTACATAGAAGTTTATCGGACAATTTGAGTGTACATGATTCAGAGGAATATAAAACTCCAGCAAGACGAGGATCAGGTTCGGCGAGGAGAAGTTTCTTTAGAAAAAGCAAGAAGCATCAGAGGACCGGATCTAAAGACAGTCGGGAATTTAATTCTTTCTCTGATGTTTCTTTAAACAGTGATTCTTTACCAGTCCTTGATGGTAGGTGTCCTAAAATGTTCATTTTATTATGTGTTACAAACATATACATATATAGATAAAGAACTTCAACATGCCATACTGTAGGTCACCAAACATCTACTAATTATTTGGTTTGAAAATATTTCAAGGACTTAGATATTTACCAGTTATAACTGTTATTTCTGATGCAAAACTATTTTATATCACATTTATTTCTTAACTTTTTCTTTCTGTGTAATCTTTGAAAATTTTCATTACAAAAATTTAGTTTGAATTTAAACTAATTTTTACAAAAGTTTGAATTTAAACTAATTTTTACAAAGCTTGATATTGTATTTACTGTTAAATTTTTTTATTTCAGATGTATCCATGTATACATACCTTAGTGTAGAAAAACTTGAATGTAAGTATAATAGACATAGAATTTATCATGTTGTTACCAACAATATTCATGAAAATTGTAAAGTTACTCATTATATGTATCTAGAAAAGGTAAATTTTATTCTTTTTATCACCTCAATATTTATCTGTATTGTTTGAAACTTCACATTTTGGATATGTATTTATATAAATCGAAATTGACGTAATGTGTAGCATAATGGAGCTAGTACAATAAAAGTTATTACATGTTTGATGCATGAAGTTCAATGTTATGGTTATCATAAATGATAAAATGGTACTGGTTACCTTTGCAGATAAAAAGACTCGACCTGTGGTACTGATAGCTCCGCTGGCGGACGCTCTGATACAGAAATTATCCTCAGAATCTCCGGATAAATATTATTATTGTGAACCATGTAAGTATTTTTCCAAGTTTGAATTTTGTGGTGTGATTTTATGAGTAAAAAGGTTATAAGAGTGCTAGGAACTTCTTCTTCACATAATTCTTAACAGTATGCAATCATGCCAATGTCATTTGGTTCTATAAGTTAAAGGGACTCCACTAAGGTTAAAAAGCCTTGAATTTCTTACATACATGAGCTGAGGCACTTTAAACAGAAATATATGCAAAGACAGTTAAGAAATATACTTTGAAATAAATTGAAAATCGTATTTTTTATGCTTTTCTTAGCCCGTTTGAGTGAAAAGCCTTTAAACGTCTTTCATTTTTTGTCATTTTTTTAACAATTTGAATAATTATTCCGGAAAAAGAAGTGTGCGAATGATCTGAAATTTTGCACAAAGATTAGTGGTGTAAACCTACTTCAAATGGTCCATTTATATGGAAAAAATATTTTCAGTCCCATCATACCAAAAAACCTCAGTGGAGTCCTTTTAATACCTAAATACTTTCACACAACATATCTCTGAAGGAGAGCTGCTCTTAAATCAGTCAATATATAACCTTGACCTCTCCCTTATTGCATTGACTTTTAAGGGTCAAATTTTCCAAAAATTGTGTGAGGATACAAGGAGAATGCTGTGTGTTTAATGAATACATTTTCTTTGTTCTTGAAATAAAGTATTGTAAAAGCACATGTATACAAATTCCAAAAATATTTCAGCTTTAAAATTTAGTGGCAATAACCATTTCTAAGAATATACTAAATTGGTGAACAGTTGTTCTGATATAGCTGTAGTTTACTATGTTTGTTATGATATGTGTTTTTAGCTGTAATCCAGACATCTCATCACTGTATGGAGCAAGGTTTGAAGGAAGGACAGTTTATAGATTATTGGCAACAAGATGAACGTTACCTCTGTATCCGACTCAAATATGTCACTGATATCTGTGATAAGGTAAACCAGTCTATAGATTAAATAGTGTTACTTATTGGAATGCTTAATTAATTGTTTTAACATAACGGCTTCCTGTCAGTTTTGTGGTTGTATTTAGAGGACTGTACAAGACTGTAAAAATTTTATAGAACTTCTTTAAATTTCTTTCTTAGAGCTTTCAAAATGTGGAAAAAAAACCAACGTAACTTCAGGCAAATACAGGCAAACTTGGACCTATGAATTTATAAAGATTATATGATATAATCTTTAAAACTATCAAAAATGGTGTTCTTTACCTTGTCTTAGAATTTAGTCCATTTATTTGTAAAATCATTAACATTTGTAGAAGCATTTTATTACCAGGGGTTAAGATGGATTTTAATGCTCGATATATTACCTTTTTTATGAATTTCATTATTTATGTACAAATGTTTGCCTTGTTTATGTTTAAATGCTATATCTTGTGATTACAGAATATCCACTGTTTGCTGAATGTAAATCCTTTGGCTATAGAGAGGTTACAGAGGCAACAGATTTATCCAATTGTTGTTTATGCTAGACATAAGTCTTATAAACAACTTAGGTAAACATTAACTTTTATTGTTCTCTTTATATTATGTTACTATTTATACAAACTTACTTTTGAGTCATGCTCAAGTTAGACAAGCTATATGGAGAGTTCAATATTGGGATAATTTAGGTTAAGCATGCCCTTTGGTATCAGTTATTTGGAAATAGTTCATTATTATGAGGAAAACCTATTTAGCAGGGCAAGCATATAGCAATGAAAAATATTGTTTCAATGACAACCTAAGTTTTTCAAAGCTAGCAAAGTGATTGTATTGATATTGTTATCTTTATTTCATGAATGAATTGCACTAGCTTTATAATAAGCTCTCAATGATTCCATTTGTGTGATGTGTAAAATATGGTTGATTGATGTTTTTCAGGGAAATAAAGGATGTGCAATTTTTGCCTGAGAAGTTGGGTTTGAAGTCTGCAAAAGAATTGTTTGAATATTGTCAAAAAGCTGAGCAGGATTACAGGCATCTTATCTCTGGTAGGTTGTTTACTTATCTTTTTATGTCATTTTAATATTTTTTTTATTTTATAAAATAATATTAATAAGCACACAACATGCTTAAGGCATTTTTTTTAAATTTCTGTTATATATTTATCTTTAACTTAGGTAAAAGTTATTTTTATCATAATTTCTATCCAGCCAGCTTATGGTATGTCAGTGGTTCTACTCTGGTGCCCGCTCATATCTGAAATAATGTATGGAGGGCCAACTGAGGTTTACCTCCACCAGTAAAGCTGGAAGGTCGCCATATGACCTATACAGTGATGGTGTGATGTATAACCTAACAACAAAAAATAATAATCATCATAATTTAATCTGAGTTAGCAAATATTACTTTTGCAGCCACTTTCCTTTGTTTGCATCCAAGTATTACTGAAGTTAAAAAATTTCTGTCTTGCAGAATAATATGCCATAGTATGCTGATTTTAAGATCTTTTGTAGGTGTTTGGTTTCTTCTCCATGTTTTTATACAAGATGACCTTTCTAATTCTTTTTCTTGTATTATTTATTCTATATGTATTATATGAAATAAAAGTTCATGGTGGGTGACCACATTTAGTGTTTGTTGACAAGCCTAAAACTTGCAGACATGTATATATGTTTGGTAGTAATATTGAAATATTGATTATATATTACAGCTACTATCCAGGGAGGTAATCTAGCAGAGATGGCCCAGCAGATCAAGAATGTTATATCATCTGAACAAGAAAAACCAATCTGGGTGCCTTCATCTATATTGAGATGACGAGACGGATGTATAAACATGTACTAGTACATATGTTATAATGATATAAGGCTAAGAGACTGGTGAAAGATCATATATGATAAACATAACGACTCATTTTATTGTATATATTTACAACATCATAGTGGGCTTTCAGATTGTATTAGGTGAAATGTCGATTCTTGTTATGAAAGACTGGAAAAAAAGTACATGATGAAAATGTGTAAATTGTTGGCTTTATTAGGAGTTAAGGCATTAGAATTGATATGTTTTATGTGATAATTATATTAAAACACTTGAGGGTATGCTATAGAATGTGAACAATGTAGCAAGCTTTCTTGCCTATTCAGGTAGATAGAATTAAAGCCTGTAACAGACTAGGTTTGTTACAAGAAAAACATGAGCTTTTTAGTTGTTGCTTAAATTAAACATAGTAAACTTCAGGTGTAGGGGGATATGTAATGAAGCTTCTTTTCTTTTTATTCAAAGTTCTGACCAAGTTATTATAATTGGCATTTATAAAATATCATATAGCATTATTGAAATTTAAATCTAAACTTCTTATAAACATTGTCATTTTTACTGGAGGGAAAAAAAAGATTTTAAGGTGTTAAATAGAACTTTACTAAAAACGAAAACTTAAATTGTTCATATGTTTGCATTTTTCTATACTTATGAGAACATGTTTACATGCATTTGTTTAGTATTCATTTTTGGGGACCATTTTGTGTTGTTTTATTATTTATTTTTTTCTGATAGATGTTGTAACATTGTCAAACCTCAAAATGACTAGGTTGTGAAATTTTCTTCTTTTCATGCATCTGTGTTATAGTGCACCTGTTTGTGTTAATTGTTTAGTCTATGTAATGCTGTAGTTCCTAAAATTGACTTTTTTTTAAAAGATTAAAAACTACCTGTAGGTATTCTGTTATTACTTTATATATCAAATCATGTCATTACTTATTTTATTTGATTCTGATTGTAAAAAACCTAAGTGTCAACTTGCATGTATACTTGACCATGCAATACAATGTAGCTTTTAAGAACTATCAAAAAAAAAAAAATGGAAATCTTTAGGAACAAAACTCCTTTGCTTTAAAGAATTATATGATTAGAAATCTTTGGGTCGCTGGTTCGATCCTTAGGCAAGGCGTAATTTCTTCGTGACAAATGAGCTCAGACATTTGAGTCAATTGATCATTTTTTTCTCACTTCTGAATCAGAAATTGTGTAGGCAACTTGTGGTGAAATTGGTTAGTACTGGTTAGTTATCCACGAAAGCCAGTTAGATGGATTGAACCCCAAGATATGACCAAAAAAATGTGTTAAAATTGTTATGAAAATTTGAAAAACAAACAGTACTAAAGTTGATTTGCATTTCATCTTGGCTTTGTTAACAAGTTACCATGCTGGTCGCAAACCCATTATGTTGGTTTTGTCATGACGCAGCTCAGTCATGATTTTTTTCAGGTAGTGGACATTGTAATATACATGTATCTTCTATTTCTCTGAAAGTTTTCTCCATTAACTTACTGATTTTACATTGTTAAATGTACTGTATAGTTTTTTTTTGTTGTTATTAAAGTGCAGAAACATAATATGATTTTATTATGTCAGTGACTTTGTATGCTTGACAGTGCTTATTTATGTTGTGAGAGGTATATTTGTTCTATTTGGAATCATTTAAACTTTGTGATTAAATCACATTTACTTTTTACCATGGAAGACAAATTATTTGAAATAAATGTCTAGAAACTTAAATGTTGTTTTCATGTTTTTATTTCAGTTTAAGCCATCAACATTAAGAAGAATTTTATCTAAGTACCGGTAATACAATGTGCATGTATATCATTGTAATGGATTCCATCCAGTAAAGTTCTGTAGTATGACAGAATACAAGACCTTATAGAAGTCACATTAAGTTTTTTTTTATTACAGATCATCAGAAATGTTATTTTGCTTTACATGAGAAATACATCTTCACATAGTTGACCCGTTTTAGGTTCATAAACTCTTATATGTTACACATCTGCTTACACAGAATTTTGATAATCTGCAACACAAAAAACTAATTTACTTGGATAGTTACAATGTATCGTCATACATTCAAAAATTCATATGGTTTACTTAATTAGAGAACAAGAATTGTTACAAAGTTCTGGAAGTAGTAGCCAATGTTTGATTAAACTATCATACCAAATAGCATTGAATTTATGCACCTTGGAAGATTATCTTAATGATAGTGGAATGTATATTGAAATCCTGTATTGAGCTTTTTCTTTAAGTGTATACTAGTATAGAAAAAGAAAGCTCTAAAAGTCCAGAAATTATCCCCAAAACATTATAATTTGAAGGGTCAAATTTAGGAATAATACATGTACATGCAACCAGAGGCATCCAAGTATTATGTGAGCTGTCTGGGAGGAAATGATTTTAGGAATAACTTTATAATGATTTTAGGAATAACTTTATAACATTTTATTGAAAACTTACTATTGTCAGTGATTTGTTTTCCTCTATACTTGTAGATGCACCACTTAAGTTTAGCAGTCAGAAAATAATTATGAGGTTATTATTGTTGAGAACAATACTGAATGGCATTGGAAAAATACACAAGTTACCGTGAAACTTAAAATGACCTCTTTATTTCAACCAATTTTAAGTAGGAAAAACGCAACATTAAAGAAAACACTCAAAATCAACAGAATTTAATTTTATTATACATGTATTTAAAGCAGAATAATAACAAGGCTAGAGAAAAATATGAATTTTATCTAGATTCAATGGTCTTGGAAAATTAAACAATCAAGAATGAAAAGATTTTTACAATGTATACTAAATGTATAAACAAGTATATTCTCTGTTATCACAAGAAAGGTACATGTTAATATATATAGGTTCCCAAGAACGGTACACTGATTTGTAGTAACAAGTGCTTGTAATTGCAAGACATGGTACACACTGTAAAGGCTTGCAAAACAGGTGGTGGTGTTGGTAGTTTTCACTCTGGATCACGGCAGTAAGCCACTTTGAATTTACAAGAGCACAGTTCAGCTACCGCATTGTTCCTGGGCATGCTGTCAAGCAGTTTACCAGTACTAGTTGCCTTCACTTTTGCAAGGAACAGATAACTTCTGTACATTGTGCGAATGACTGTAGAAAAGATTTTATGATCAATCACAAAAGTTACCTGCACCATCCGGGAATCAGACTGGTCGCCCTATTCATAGTCTAATGCTCTACCCACTGAGCTAACCTAACGGTCTTAACAGGGTACAGTGATCGAGTTTATCTACAGTGATACTGGAAGATGACATGGTGCAAATGCTGGAAATTCATTGGTTACAATTTACAAGATGTGAAATATTATTCAATACAAGGATTCATAAAGAAACAAGCAATATTTATATCTCCAGACTTTTATTCACAAACTTTCAGAAGGAAAATATATAATCTCAAAATCATTGAACATTATTTAACATTAGCCGAGATTCTATGACAGAAAATATATTATTTCTACAAATTAAACTGTAACAAAGAGTACTATCTTGACAAGGTGTGATTTGATGGTAACATTAAATCCCATTTATTACCATAAAAATAATCTTCCTGCTACAAAAATAATACCAAAACAATTTCAGATTGTTTCATGTCTAAACTGGTATGGGATGAACATATTTTCATTTTCAAATATACTGTTTGTGTTTACGTATTCTACAGCGAGTTTTCTGAATTCTGTCCATAATATATCAGTAGCATGTTGTGAGTCTGCAATGCACTGTAAACGCTAGAGTATGTTTTATAAACGATATTGAGTATTATAATAGATCTAATGATTGTATGATATTTTGGTTATGTTTATTCCGTGGAGATAACTTTTCTCTCTCTTTTGATAGCTACACCTCAACCACAGCCACTGATGTTTAACTTATTTTTATCATAAAATATTTCACATTTTTTCATCCCAAGTTCAAAATGAAAGTTGATATGTATGCCAAATAAAACTGTAACCTTAACCAGAGTACTGGAGTTCATTAACATGACAATATATGAAACAAAACAATATGAAGCAAAACAAAATATCTAACACAAAAATCATTTGTGCAAACTTGTTAAACAAAATTCTAAGTAAAATGAGTAAGTTTACACCACTTATTGTTTCATAATTTTAGTTTATTACATAGATAACTTTATTTTTGAACCAAACAAACAAGTTTGTCTTCGGTGCATTTAAATGTGTTATTTGTGAACCAAACACTTGAAAACTTTTTTTTCATGTGTACAAATGTGCTTTATTTACAAACCAAACAATGAAATACAAACATTTATTACATGTACAAATGTACCTTCTTTCAGTTATGAGTGAAACATGTACATGTACGAAATGTAACCTACAATCTTAAATATTTATACACTAATTTTTTTATTTTATTAACTTCAAAGACTGTACAAGTTAAAATACAAAAGTTCCCTTCCTTAATGTACCATATTTTCTTAATTCATTTGTTAAGAATAACATCTCCAGATCATGCGAGTTTGTTTGCTTGCAGGATTTATTTGCGGACTAACTATTTAGATCTCTTGTAATTTCATGTATAAACTTTAATAAACTATGTACATGCATTGTTATAAAAATATCATTTTAATTCTTTTTCAACATGATAATAATCATTATTAAACAGAGTCTGTATTGTTTGGACACAACCATTACCAAGGCAACTGTTTACGATTCCAATGCATGATAGGAGGATATATTGCTAACTTAAACAGGAATGTCAGTTAAGAACCGGAATGTTACAACAAAAAGTAACATTTCTATCATTATTTGAACATATATATCATCAATTTTATGCATAATCATTCTTTTCTAGACAAGAAAGTAAAGATGGCCCTACATGACTCATCTGAAAACTGTTACAACAATTGCTAGGTAAAAATTTTAATTCTAAATTATTTAACTTTTGTAATGGACCAAATTTTGTGCAAAACAATTTATGAAGAAATTATTGTTTACTTTATCAATTTGGCAGCACCAATTTTTACCTGGACTGCATGATTTCAACAAGTTTTGTAGTAGTTCAGAAGGAGGAGATTCAATTTGTTTTCCTATATAATTAAAGACCACTGTTGAAGAAATAGAGAAGAGACATACTGCAGACAGTGAGCAATCTTAATAGTGCTTCAATAAAAACTTCTTATATATACCAGGTAAATCAAAATTATAACAACATGTAATGTTTGCACAATGTCAATAGCAAATTCAACAATTAAATTTGACCGCTATTTGCAATGC